TGAAAAAACATACAAATATTTTAAACATTTTAATGACTAAAGAACGTGGCTAACGAATTTCAACTGACCGATGAGTTTTTATTTGAAAATTTGACCGCCATATTGGATCCACCATTTTGAATTTTGGAAAACTAACATCAGATTCGTAATCGGCGACCCCTAAAATCTCCGAGTAGCAAATTTCAAGCTAATTTAAACACTTTAAACCATTTAGTTCTTTCTATTGAAATTTTTCAAAAAAATTTGAACTTTAGACTCCATTTTTGAGCCGCCATTTTAATTTTAAATTTTCCTATTTTGTAGCTTATGTATATATTTTTGTCACGTTATTTGTAACATTTGGAATTATTTTTCTGCTACTTCGAAGTAGTAAAAATTGAAAATTATACAGAAGTTTGAAAAAAATCGGACTTTTTTATAAAAAACATTAATAAATTTTTTTTATAACGCCATTCGATAGAACGCATATGAAAACATAGGAAATTATGATTAATGAATTTTTCTATTGATTTTTTAAGTACCGAAGTAAGTTCTCAAACTTCGTGCCAAAATGTTGTACAATTGGGCGTTAAAGGGTTAAATTAGGTTTTTTATAACAGTCAATGAAAGTTTCCATTCAATTAGGAACGATTCTGTACATTTTTGATAAACCTTCTAAAAATAAATCATTAATGGTTTCAATTTATTTAAACAACTAATGTAAAGTTTCACCTACAGATTTATGTAAATTAAATTTTTACGTGGATATTCTGCTAACTTGTGTGCAACAATGTCATTCTTAGTCAAATACGAAACATTTACATACAGCTGTGGAATATATTTGTGTGATGCGCTTGTCCGAGAAGAATACCATTCAACACGACTACATACAATGTGACAAAGTTAATCGTCGCGTAATCTGTCGTTCTTTCTCCAAACCAATGTTGCAACAAGTCCGTGGTAAAGTAGACAGCATATTTGCCTTCATAATCAAAGCAACAGAGAAAAAAATCACATTTCCAATAAAATAAACATAAAACCTACGAAATGTCTAAAATATCGTTGATTTTCTGATATTTTTGTTCCTAAAGTATTAAAAACTTGTATTCTTAGATTATTTACAATTATTATTAATGATGCTTCAAGAAAAATGAGATTTGTATATAATAATTATTTTTCAAAACAGTTAAACGTCTGCTAATTAATGCCTTCTTATCATGAATCAATTATCCGATACGATAACTAGATCAGCCGTCAAAATATCTGTTCGTCAGTTCGCATTGAAAAAATATTTCATTAAAAATAATTAATTGATAAATTGACTATGAATTTATAATTATTTAGATTTTTTTGAGTAATTTTTAAATACTTTTTTTATTTTTGAAAACATATGGATATGTCTTAATATTAAGGTCGTTAGAATGCAAACTTTGTAGGGCACTTAGGGATACGTAAAAATCAGGAAATTACAATTCTCATGACTCAATATAATATCGAAAGCATCATTGAGAGCAATACATTCAACCGTAAAAATGGAAGCATTACAATGAAAAGATTTTTTAAAATAAATGTTTAATTTAGGACTGGGACATATGCAAGCTGATCCTATATAATCAGAACCAGTCTTTGAACTTTTCTGAAGAAAAGTGGACGATTCTAATAAAAAATAATTAATATTAATTAAAATAATTAATAAAATCTTCGAGAAGTTTTTTTTCTTGTATACAATACATATTACTTTAACTACTTTTTCACAAATAAACAATTTTCAATTCGCGTCTTGTAATTTTGTAGGTATTTTTAAAATTTATATTTAATATATAAATTTTTTTTAATATCTTATTTTCATATTTTTGTACGAAATATTTTACTGTAATATTTCAATACATTTTTATTGGAAGTTTTTTTTTCTTAAAGGTAGTAAATTTGATTATTTATTCAATATTAAACGCATCTATTATGAACTTTCAAAAGAGGTTTTATCAATTTTAATAAAAAGATTACTTTGAATTATTGATTTATTTCTGTTCAAAGTATTTGTCTTGTTATTACTCTTGTTGAAGAGAAAAATATGAAAGGAACTTTTATTTTGATCGAAAGTTGCATAAATTTTCGTATACGAAAGAACGGTTCAGGAATATTGTAATTTGCATTTGAGATGGTAAAAAGAAGTAAGAGAAGTTTGAAAGATGGATGCGGGAGATTCTGAAATTGGCAGAATATGCAAATCGTGTTAGCGTTCATCCTAAATCTTCACCTTTACAAGTATCATTTAAATGTGTGCAACAGAGCTGCTTTTTCGTTGGATACATGAATTATTATTGATGTTACCATAGACTTGAAAAGTATCGACTGCTTTTGTAGAAAATTATTAGTAAGGTAAAAATATCATTCTATTGAATATGATCAACATCTGAATATTCGTATTATCCTGCAAAGGTCTACCTTGAGAGCTTGCAGCTTGTTCAATAAATTGTTTGCTTAAAAGTATGAAGAGTTTCCGTGATGCTTACACATTTTTAAAATATTAAAATTTTTTAAGGTATTTGTTTATATTTATGGGTACAAGAACAAAATTGGAACAGAACACAAAAATTATAAATGCAGTACAATTTAGCAAAACATGTTCCAGATTTCTTATTCATCCGGATAAAAGAATAATAAAAAAATTAAAATAAAAAGTGCTGGAGTTTAATTTAAACATCATCTTAATAATACAACTAATTGTGATAAAATTGTGGTACCAACGAAAGAAGAAATACAAAATATTCTTTTTATTCCGCATTACAAAGGTTAATTATTTACAGATAATGATTACTTTCATTTTAATTAAAAATTATAATTTTAATTGTTTTTTTAACTGAAAATTCAACATTTTTTAAAATTAAATTTAGATGCTTTAATTTTTAATTCTTCTCTCTCTTTTTTATTATGAATAAAATATGTACTGGAAACTGACTAGCCTATATAAGTATATAAATTATTTTATATTTTAATTATTATGAATTTTAATAAATAAGATATTAAGAAAAATGTACATATCATATGATTTCTGAGATTCAATGGAAATTTGAAAATTTTATGTGACCAAGTGATAAATTCTACATATATCATATTACAAATTGTACATTTAGAATTCCACATTCCGGATTTCACATTCCGGCTTCTAGATTCCACATTCTGGATACCACATTTCAAATTCCACATTTCGGATTCTACATTCCATATTCCTGATATAACATTCCACACTTCAAATTTCACATTCCGGATTCTACATTCCATATTCCTGATACAACATTCCACATTTCTGTTTCACATTATATATTTCGCTTGCTGAATGCCAGATTCCACATTCGAAATCCATATTCCGGATTTTTTACCTTATATTACACATTTCTAATTCCATATTCTGATCCACTTTCCGTATATCACATTCTTCATTCCACATTGTGGATTCTACATGCAAAATTGCACATAACACGTGCAATAATGTGGAATTTGAAATGTTGAATCCGGAATTGTGAAATTTTAAATGTGAAATTCGGAATGTGGAAGCCGGAATATGGAATCCTGGATGAGTACTATAGAATCCTTAATGTTGAATGTTGAATGTGGAATATGAAATTTTAAATACGGAATGCGGAATAAGTTGAGAAACCGACCCACTAGTTAAAATTTTGTTTTTATTTTATTATTATCGAATCACGGAATTAATAATCAATATATACATTTATAATGATTTTATTATAAGTGAAACAAATTTAATTTTAATTTTATATAATTTCTTTTTAAAATATTTTATATTTATATTAAATTAAAATTTAATTAATTTATAAATTATTTTACAGAATTAAATATCGTAAATTTTTTTTAAATACACGATTTATCAAACTATAAACTTTGACGCATGCATGGAAGTATTTGCAAGATTTGCAATATAATTTTTTCTAGAGAACTTTTCGGTTTATGATTTTTTTGTTTATAATTTTTACAGAAATTATTTTAAAAATATAGAATTTTAAATTTTTTATATTTCTCTTTATGACTTGTTAAACATTATAACAAAAACCCTTATAAATGACGAAAAGTTATAAATTTTTGATTTTCAATAAATTTTTATTAATTTTACTTTTTAACAAATAGAAAATAAAATTTTCTTATTTTTACAGAAACTTTTAGAGACAAAACTTTACAGGCGCATGATTATATTCCCCGCAATGTCATTTGACAGAAATAACATTTTACCAAACTGCATTTGACTGAACTGTCATGTTAACGAAATGACATTTAACCAAATTACCATTTTATTGAATTTGTTAGTCTTACTTATCGTCATTGTTGCAAATTGTCACTTTAGCGAATTGTCAATTTGATGAATTATCACTTTTGCGTCTTATCTTATATAAATAAAAATTTAATATTGTAAAGTTAGACAACAATAATATTACAATGCAATATTTTTTGTGACTTTTTATGTACTACTTTTTAATTGGCTTGTCAAATAGAAAAATATTAAATATTATTGAAAATTTTCTTGAAAACTTACTTAAGCGAGTTTAAAAAAATATAAGATTCTTTATTATTGTATGAACCTCTTTAATGTTTGAGTTAGATGTTATATCTTAAAAATGTGTAAAGCGATTTAATGTACCAGACATAAATCAATAAATGTTTCCCCGCTATCAATAAATGAAAAAATTGCATATTTATTGATTCTTTCTAAAACATAAATAAACAAAGCAAATTAAATATTTAAAAAAGTAAACCATCTCATTTGAAGTCTCGCGTACGAATAACAAGAGGCAATTTAATTATACTTTTACTATATTCTATTGTAGATTAATAGTATTGTGCGTAATATTTTATCAAAATGTCCCTTAATCAACAATTTTAAATTTTTGTTATTAATGAATTAGAACGTTTTTTTGCAGATAACAAATTGGAACCGTTGCATATCAACTAACCTTTGACACGGAAAATAATCAGTCTAATGAAAACAATTCACATATAAACCAAAATGAATCATTTATACACGTAAAATTAAACAAGCTTCATTATTAATATAAAGTTAATATATTTTTATATCTAATTACGGATTTAGTAACATGAAATGACAAATTTTGTATTTTATTTAGATTCATGTAATTAAAAAAATATTTGTATTCTCTGAATGCAATTAGTTTCGTTAAGTGAGTGATAATAACAATTAAGTGATCAGAAAAAAGTTTGTTTATTATAATGGTGGGTCAATTTACTAAAAGACAATGGTTAACCTTGATTGTTATCAGCATTGCCGATTTTGCTAATGCTGTCTGTGTCTCATTACAAGCTCCTTTTTATCCTCAAGAGGTAAAAAGTGCTATTATAAAATTATTAAATAAAATAGAATTATATAATTAATAAACTTACATACGTATTGTTTCGTAGAAAACAAACCTTGAAGTTAAAAATGTTTTAAAAACAAAAGCAGTAATTTTGTAATATTTTATATTTTAATTGCTTTCCTCATTCTTTAAAATGTATCAAATATATAAAACATTGCTTAAAATAAGTAGAGAAAAATAAAAGTAACTAATGCAGAAGTGGAAAAAATAATAATTAAAAAATGTAATTGATTCAGCAACTCATTTAATTAAAATATAATTAACAAAGATAAATAAATTTAATGTCAATATACTGGACAATATTTAAAAAGTTGTGTCAAAACAATTAGAATACTTTTTTTTATCATATTTAGGATATGCATGTTTTGGTATTATTTGAGATGTGATGATTTTGTTTTGCGGTCACAGCGATTTAATTTTAATCATATTTTTTAGTATAGAAAACTATATCATTTTCACATTATAATTGATTTACAGATATTCAAATTCTATTTAGTTAATTAGAAATATTAAAAATACTAAAATGTACTTTGCAGTTACTTATATCTAGTAGGGTTATCATTAGTACTTGCAGTAAAAAATGTTTGTAAACTGATGTTCAAAATACTTTGCAGGTCAACATTTTCATCTCAATCAGACTTTTTTAAACTTGAATGCTTATTATGTTTTTAAAAATATGTTCACTTCACGTTTACGACTACAAAACTTTGCTTTTTCTTTTGTTCTTGTTAAAAAATATTGCTGACTATAAATAAAACAAAACGACTCATTTATTTTGTTTATTTCATAAATGAAATAATTAACCTAAACTAAATATTTGTTATTTAGTAAATCTAAAAAGATATTACTGAGCATGCTTAACTTTGCGTGTTGTTGACCGAATATATTTGTTTTTATAATATGTAAATAATTGTTTTGTACTTCATTAAAAATTATATTCTTTGTAGGCTGAGAAAAAAGGAGCTTCAGCAACAGAATATGGTTTAGTATTTGGAGTTTTTGAATTGGTCGTGTTTATTATCAGTCCAATTTATGGTCAAAAGGTAAGACTTTATTTACCTATTCGAAAACAATTTCTGACTTATAAAAATATTTAAATATATTTCAAATTTTCTCTGAATTAGGGGAGAGTGGGGCAAACCGGACCGGTGGGTAAACCGGACCCCTCTCAATATTTCCGAAATGGCGAAATTGGAAAAAGTGTTGTTGACAAATTTAAAACAACCATGTTTAGTATACCTTATTTTTACAATCTGACAGTTTTAGCTTGCGTTTGTGCGACGAAGGAAGCAAAAGTTTTTTTTTAGTTTTTTTCTACACTTATACGAATTTTTCCTTAAGGAAATTCTGAGGAAATCGAGTAAATAACATGTAAAAATACATTTAACTTTTCGCCCCAGGATGCGTTTTTGGCTTTAACAACAAATATAAAAAATCTGAGTAAAGATATTTAGCAAATACCTTCAGGTATCTCTTCAGGGGACCTAAATAATGAAGTAAAAAAATCGCGGTGAGAATAAATGCAAAAAATGTACTTAAAAGTTGATATTTTCTTTTACGAAAAAATTTTCAAAAGTAGAGGGAAAAAAAAATTTAAATATGGACACCACAAAAATGAACAGAATGTCACATAACTCCGGACATTTATTTAGGGTGATAACACCCTTATATAATGCAATGTTTTTTATTATTGTAGATTATGTAAATGCAATATTATAAATAAAAAATCAAACGGTCCGGTTTACCCCAGGGGGTGGGGCAAACCGGACCGTTTGCAAATTTTTTTAAAGTTAACACAGCAACTAAACAATAAAAGATAAAGTATAGGTGTTTCTGGGAAAAAGTTGCGCAATTAAATGATCTTTCAAACAAGCCATCAAAAAATGAAATCGGCTGATTCGTTTAGTCACAAGAGTCAAAAAACCGTTAGGGGGTCCGGTTTGCCCCACTCTCCCCTATGTAAAATAAATGTTGTCACGAAACTTCAAGAACAGTCCAGCACCATACGAGACACTAAATCCTAATCATTTTGAGAAATTTCTAAATAGTTTAAATATTTTTAAATACAAAAGCAAAGCTATACTCCATAAATGTGTAGAACTGCGGTTTCCATTTCCAATTTAGCATTATTCAATTTCATCTGAATGCTGTTAATTTTCAAACTTAAACCATCACCAGCTATAATTTACTTTTATATACCTGATAATGCAATTTAGGGTATGGTACCTGGGTAATAAGGTTGAAATCCTTAACTGAAAAATATGTTGGGTCATTATAGAAGTTTAACTTCTCTTAAAGTTTTATATTTTTCAAATATCAAGTCAAATCTCGAATTTATTCCAGTATTTAGTTTACCTACTATTGGTATAAGTATTATTGATATAAGCTTTGATTCATTGTTAGTTTACTAATTGTTATTAGTAATTATTAGTTTACTCAAGTGATTGTTAAATGTAATATATGTATAATCATTGAAAAACCTTTAGAAACGACTAAATGGAAAATTTATTAATAGCTACATCGAATTGGACCAAAACTTCTCTTTAATGGTGGAATTTTAACAACTGGTACTTCTGCAATTATTTTTGGATTATTGGATAAAGTAGATGGACATTATCCATTTATTATCTTATCATTTGTAATTAGAATAATTGAAGCCTTAGGAAATGCTGCCTTTCTTACTGCCAGTTTTGCAATAATTGCTAAGGAATTTCCAGAAAATGTAGCTACTACATTTGCGAGTTTAGAAACATTTTTTGGTTTGGGACTTATTGTAGGACCTACTGTTGGAGGAGCTCTATTTCAGGTATAGTGTAAACATTTATGTAGAAGTGTTGGAGTATTTTTTATCAATTTAAAATTTAAATTTAAAAACATTAAAAAATAAATTTTTAATCCCGTGGCCAAATGTTCAGATAAATACTATTACACCAGCTATTTTCATGTTTTTTATGTATAAGCGCTTCCTATAAAGATTTTATGTATTTTAATAGCAAAAATATTTTTTTTTCTATCTGCAAGTATTAATTTTGGCTACTTTGAGGTAAAATTAAAATTTCACTTCGTAACTACCTGATTATTTTTAGATCGGTGGTTTTGTAACGCCTTTTGCAGTTTTAGGATCAGCACTGTTCCTGGCTGCAGTAATGACTGCATTTGTATTACCTGTTCATGAAAACAGTGAAGATATTACTCATAACAGTGGGGGTAAATTAAAATTATATTTTAACATGTGTAACTACTGTACAATAAGAATTTATTTAAACTTATAATTTAACTTACATACACTATTGTCCTTAATTTAGTGAACACTTAAATCTACTGTTATCAAAAATTATTATAATAAATATTTCCAAATTGACGCAAAAATTCAGATCATTATATTTTATAGTTAAAAAGATTTAAATCTTTTTAACTATAAAATGTTAAGGATCTGAATTTTTGCCTTCTTTTACGTGTTCCTTTAAGTACAGATTGTACTGTCCACTTATATTCATAGGAAATGTTAGTCTTCGAACCATTTTGTAAGATAGACTAAGTGCATCATCCTATTAATCAGAATAATAAAAATTTTAAACATAATTTCGTATAAATAGAATGAATACAGGATTCGTACTTTCTATTCTGAAATAATAGATAATAATAAAATAATAAAAACTAAGCAAAGACATTTTTGCAGGATTTTCTGCAGTTCTGAAGATTCCAGGCGTAATAGTGTCTACAGCTTCTATCGTCGCTACAAGTATGAGCATTGGATTTTTACAGGCCACTCTTGAACCACATTTGAGAGAGTTTAATTTAGGGCCTGTTGTTGTAGGACTAATGTTTGTTGTTAATGGCGGTACATACGCTATTACTGCACCAGCTTGGGGTTGGTTCTGTGACAAACATCTTGATCCTAAGGTATGTACACTACCGTCCAAAAGTATCAGGACGATTACATTTGACTCTATGAAAAAACATGCCATCACTTTTTCAATAATATCTCGGAAATAAAAGGGGGTACAAAAAAAACTTAAATACGGTTAGAAAGCTGATTAAATTCTGCATAAAATAAGCCGTCTTTGAAGTCATTTCGTTAATTATTTTTTAAGTTGTAGAGTGAGAAAGAAATAAAAAAAATTATCAAATTTTCTCATTTTTGTCTCTTGACTTCAACTTTTTCCAAAATATAGAAAAATTTAGATAAAATTTTTTTAAAAACACAGAATTCTTCGTTAGAATTTCAGCTTTAAAATAAGCCTTTGAAAATTAGAAAGGGTTAATCCGTCTTCGATATATCATTAAAAATGTGAAGCCGTGTTTCGACCGATTGGTGCATTGAAATTCAACTGTGACGAGTCGAATGTAATCGTCCTGATACTTTTGGACGGTAGTGTAATAATATTTTATATTGCTATTGACGAAACTTAAACCATAAATATATGAATGTGCAAATACTAAATTAACAAAATTTCAATAATCAATTCTAGATTGCTACAATAGTTGGATGTGCTTTAGTTATGGTTGGATTTTGTTTAATTGGACCATCACCATTAATACCATTTCCAAAAACATTTTGGATGACTGCCGTCGGTTTAGTATGTCATGGATTAGGACTGGCTGCTCAGTTAGTTGCTAGCTTTACAGATGCATTAAGAACATCAATGTAAGTTCAATTGAGAAAGGTAAGGTTGGAGGCAGTCTGAAACTCATTAGACGTGAGAATTTTCACATCAATGAAGTTTTCATACTTTTCTAATAATTAATAAAACTTTAGTATTAAATAATTAGGTTCAATTTTTATCTATAATTAATACTGCAAATTAGCGTTACATTCTTACAAATAGCACTGATCCACAATATTTAGTTTGTTATGAATAAAATTTTGATATTAACGATCAGTCCCCAGTGGGTACACTTGTTCAAACAAAGTCCTAAGGATACATTTTTGCGGATGTCTTTTGGACTTTGACAGTAGACGTACTAAAATGTTTCTATGGCTTGGCCATTAGATTTCTTTAAGATATCTAAAAGACTTTTTTTATTTTAAGCTTTGAAAATGTAATTTCCCCATTATATATTGGCTCCTATCGTATAAGCTTCTTATAGACACTATTTAATTTTATGTTCATTTGCAGATCACATGGATTTCCAAACAGCTTAGAAACTTATGGTTTAATAAGTGGCCTTTGGACAAGTTCTTTTGCTCTTGGAGCGTTCATTGGACCTAGTGTAGCTGGAATTTTATTAGACTATATAGGTTTTCAAAATGCGTCAATGTTTATTGTGGTCCTGCATCTGATAGTAGTGAGTAATTTATACCGATAACTTTTAGTTAAGATTAGTTTAAAGATTGATCTAAATTTACAGTTAACTAACAAGTCAATCCTTATTAATAAAATCAGACTTTTGTCTGTACATTGCATAAAATTCAAAATTTCTATTATATTCCTTCTTTTTACACTCTAACGAATGCGAAAATACTATTAAGAAAATTATGTGTGTATGTGTGTATGTGTGTATGTATGTCAGCAAATTTTCGACCGCGTATCACGGAAAAACGGTTCGATCGTTTGAAGTGAAACTTGGCAGTCTTTTAGGCATTAGCCTAACTTAAAATCCTAGCGATAGTAGATTAAAAAATATTAATATGGACGAAAGTTATGCCATTTTTTCAAAAATTCGAAAATTCGAAATTTTTAGTTTTTTCATATACTTTAGTGAATTGTACTTAAACTTGGTACAGGGTTAATTTTAGTGTTTCTTATTAAGATTTAATCGTCAGAATAATAAAATTTTGAATAACAAATAAAAAGTGTTAGATTTAAATATTGAAAAATTAAAAAATTAAAAGTTTAAAAATTGAAATTTTTTTGTAATTAATTTTTATACGGTTTTATTTCTTAGGTCAACAATAAAAATTTGTTGTTGAAATCATAAGTTTACTTTCTTAAAAGAATTCTATTAGGTCAGAATATTAACAATATCTATATAATTAATATGAGACTTTTGTCAGTATATTGCACAGAATTCAAAATTGCTATTCTATTATATTAATTAATGATCAAAAAATGAAAAACTCATATTTCATTCTGATGACTAAATTGTAATAAAAAATACTAAAATTAACCCTGTATCAAATTTAAGTAAAATTGATGACAATAATTATTTCAAAAGATTAATTTTGAATTTTAAAAATTTTGAAAATATATAGCACTAGCTGTCGTACTCGTCTTCGACGGGTTTTAGTTTCTACCAATACATTTAACAATGTTTCTACCAATCTGGAAAATCAAAAATACCCGGGAATTTAATTTCATCGGAAAATTAATAATTAGTTACCATTAGCTATTTCGGTAGTATAATTATACTATTTGAATAGTCTCCACCCTTTAGCAAAAAAATAAAAAATTATCAAAAATTCGAGAAACCGAATTTCTTAAAATTTAACATTTTTTTCTTCTCTTTTATATCATTAAGCTTCATTATTTTTGTACTCTTCAAAAATACTTTACTTATATTTAATAGTCTCCACCCTTCGGTAAAAAATCTAAAATTATGGAAAATTAGCAAAAATTCAAAAAACCGAATTTCTTAAAATTCAACATTTTTCCTTCTTTTTTATGGCATTTAGCTTAATTATTATTGTTTAATGTAGCAAATTTCTTACTTTACATACTGATTTACTATAGCTACACTAAAAAAAGTTATATGATTCAAGTAATTATAATTATTTGAAAAATAATATCTTATTTAAAAAGTTTTTATTTCGATCTAATAAGAATTTATTTCGTTTAAATAATTTTATTTAGTTGAATCAAATAAATCTTAATTGGATTAATTAAATAAATACTTGACTCTAATAAATGAATTTATTTAACACAAATAATTTCTAAATTTTATATTTTTTCATGGATTGCTTCTAAACTTTCTATAGTTGAGTATTACATGTTATTTATTAACATTTTAGCATAATTTTGCAAAAAATAATACTTTATAGCTAAAATGGAAATATAAAAATATTTTTAAAAAATCGAAAATTTCTAAATTTTACATTTTTTAATGGATAGCTTTTAAACTTTATATAATTGAATATTACATGTTATTTAGTCACATTTTAGCATAATTTTTCAAAAATACTATCTTATAAAGAAGATGTAAGTATAAAAATGTTTTGAATATGAAAAAACCGAAAAAATTATAATTGATACCAATTGTTATGAAGCTTAATTCAGTAGTATTTGTGGGCTCTCTGATTTAACTTTTAGAGATATCTTGATCAATGTAAAGACAAAAGTTAAACACGGTGTTTATTTTGGTTTAAAACAATTTCCGGCTATGTCCAAATTTTTCCTGGTTTATTCGACGGGTTTTTTTTAATAATACATTTAACAGGGTGTCTACCAACCAGAAAAGACGTAAAATATCAGGGAATTTAATGTAACCGAGAAAAACTGGATCTACTTGCTATACAATTAGTTCGAATTAGACTGTACTATAACTCAAAAAACTGAAGGAAATTTTAGATTGATTTTAATACATTATATTGATTGAAGTACTACAAATTGAGAAATATTGTTTTCTGCATTTGAATTAGTTAAAAATAATTAATTTGATAATAAAAAGTCGGTCACTGTTTCAAATGGTATTATTTTCCTAATGAAATAGACAATAGTAACTAATTATTATTTTTTCCCTGTCAAATCAAATTCCCGGCTATTTTCTGGTTTTCTAGGTTGGTAGATACACTGTTAAGTGCATTATCAGAAACTACAACCCGTCGAAGACGGGTACGACAGCTAGTATGTAATATAATCTAATTATCCGAACTCGAAAAGTATATTTACCAGTCAAAAGTCGTGAATAAACAAAAGGCGACAGAATAGGTGGTTGTTTAAGTGTTAAAGTAGAAGAGAAAGGTAGTATACGCAGGAATAAATAAATAGCCAGTGTATCGTCTCAAGAAGATGCAACGTTACTAAGTTCCTCTCCATTTTTCTGCTCGTAAAGGTTTCTCGTTACAAATTTAACCTTTAATTCGAGTCCAAATCTATTTAATTATCGAGGATCTTGAACGTTTCATGCATCAGTCTTTTTTGATATTTGGCAAAAACATGGGTCAGGTATGGGAGAATAGAAATCAAATTTTGCTCATTTTTGATTAATTAATAATTGATGTGTTGACTGAACAATGTAAGGGGGTCATACACCATCCCGATTTTGAGAATGTTTACGACGGTCAATTTTTTTGGAAGTTAGAGTGAGTTTTGTAACCAAGATACCTATATATATGAAAAATTGTATGCATGGAGGAAGATTTTACAAATATTTAAAGAACTATTTAAAATGTGTCTTGACATTAAATACAAAGGCAATTTGGGTTTTTACTGAGTATAATAGGTCTATAGTGGGTTATTGGTTGTATTTCCATGCTATAACATGAGCATCCAATAAACGTATATATTAAATGAATATTTATGTTTGAATTGTATTGTAGGGTATAGCTGCTGCCATTTTCTTAACTTGCTGTGTGTCTGAAACCAAACCATATACAGAGATTACTACTGCAGATGATTTAAGAGCCTCAATAACAGATAGCGGAAGATCACACAGCATGAGTCTTCCTTTGGGTGCAAGAGGAGGAAAAACTATACTACTGGATAGACCGAGTGGAATGAATTCACTATTTGCATGTAACAGTTACTCCAATAGAGCAGAAGCTTGGTCTCGAGCATCATATAACGGACGAAATTCATTTAATTACGGCTCCGTTGAATCGATACGTTACTTAGATCGAACTACTTGACTTTGAACGAATATGGAATAACTAATTTAAATCCATTCGAAAATAAAAATGTTATGTTTGCTTAAGTGTTTTGTTTAAAAAATGTAAACTACTGAATAAAATTCTTTTTATTGTATTTCGTAAATAAAATTAACTTTGTGGATACAGTGACGTTTTCTTTAAGATTATTTCTTAATTGCTTTGTCAATAGTATATGCTTGACAAATAATAAAATAAAAACATGCTTTTATGCCCGCAAAGAAGCTTGCCCAGAAAAATAAAAAAAATTTATATTATTAAGGCCCGTGTGGAAAAGTTCAAGGTTGGGCCCAATTGGGAAGCCCATCTTATCCCAGTTTGGGATATGACTTGGCTTGAAACTATAAAACCAACTTATTCCCAATTTGGAAAATCTAATTGGGCCCAATCTCGCATTCCTGCAAGAACATTTCCAATTGCGTCAACAATATTTTTTTAATTGGCAATTGCAGATCCATTCACATTTTGAGTTCTCATTATAGCATCTACAAAAAATCGAAATATTAATTTTGAGTTTATAATACACTTTATAGAATTTATTTTTAGGAAAAAAGAAAGTTATTTAAAAATAAAGATTACTTGTTTTACCTTTAATACATTGGTGTATCTTGAATTTATTAAGCGTGTACTTTTTCGACATCTGCTTAATGTTGGTAAATTTGCAGGCGAAGTCCCTGGAAAAGAATTTTTTCAATATATTTATTACACTTTTGCTTATATTGCCTCCTGTATCTAGTAGGAAATGTAATAAAGTTATCTGAAAATTGAATTACATTTATAAAAAGTTAATTAAACATTTATAACTTTAGATAATAGTTCATTTTTCTGTTTAAGATTACAAAATGTTATCGAAGTTTTTTATCTTTCAATTTGGTATTAAATTCAGTAAATTTAACAATATCATTGAATGGCAAATTTAATCCTAGATCAGACGTGATAGAGTTAACAGTAGGCAATCCTTTTTCTCTCGACAATGTCCTTACCTTTTTTAAGGGTAATTGCGTGGCATCATTTGTGAACGATCCCAATTCGATTAAATAGAAATTAAATTTTAATTTTATTAAATATAACCTCTGTCTAATTGAGATTCGGCTAAAAGGTGATTATTCCTAATAAAATTGTAACAACTGAAAATTTTAACAAATGACTTTTAGGGCCTATTTATGCGCCTCATAAAAAAGAAACATACGGGATTGTCCTATTAATTTATTGTTATAAGAATTCCAGGAATCCATTGGTTGAAGACTTGCTTTAACAATGCTCCAGAACTGTACTTGCATCAGCTGTGTATGGTGGTGGTAAAAATTTAGCAAACAGTTTACCATTCTTTTTATTAAACTCGACCTATGTAGTTGAAGTACGAGACGTCTCGCGAGACAGAAGGCTATACACACAATCATACCTGTAGCGGTTGTGCATAGGTGCCGCCACAGATATAGGGTAGACCAAACAAATATGCAAAAAACAAAAAAATATAGTTTAATTGAACAAAAATTTGTACAAAACGACGTAGACAAATAAAAACTATTTAAAAAAATTAATTTCAACTATCGATTACAAAATTTATCTTAACAATTTCGGTCAACTCGCGCAGATGTAGCGTTTAATGCACACTCTACATCACATTTCACAAAGTTAAAAAACCGCTGCCAAGTTGTATATTTTTTTGTATAATTTTGGTGCTCATTTCATGAACACTTTACTTCTTCATAGAGATAAAAATAATAGAAATATATGAATAACTTTTCATAAATATGGTAAAAGTGATTGAATTTTGGGTCAATCAATTTACTTTTAAATACCCTACAAGATAATTACAATAATTTAATAGTTAAACAAAAATTTTTAAACAAAAAAGTTAAGAAAATAACTATTTTCACAATTTTTGGTTTTTAAAATACCAATAATTTAAAAATTTATTATCAAATTAGGTTCAAAAATAGGTCAATCGAAGCGTTTTTTAATGCTCTACAAGTTGATAACGATAATATTAAAGTTACTTCTACGTTTTTTAACAAAATTTTCAAAAAAGTCTCATTTTCCAAAATTTTTGATTTTTTAAAGTTTAATAACTCCGGTTAATATGGACGAAAAATGTTCAATTAGGGCTCAAAAGATGCGTCTAAAAAAACTCTACAAAATTATGGAAAAACATTTATAGGTGTCCTAACATTTTTTTAAAGTTATGGGCAAAAAACGTTTTTTTGCAAAATTAAAATTAAAAAAAAAATTTATTTAAACTTTATTAATCTATCAGAAAGTACTCTCATTTTATGTCCGCAGGTGAGATCTACAACTTAAAAAAAATTCAACCCAAAAGCTCTTGATGATTTCGAGATATTTATGAAAATGTGATGTTTACACACACACACACACACACGGAATGACATTTTTTAAAAATGTCATTTTTGAACTCCTGAGGTCAAATAACATAAAGATATGTCAAAAAATCGAACTCGAAAAATTTCGGTATTACAATACTTCCTCTATGAGGAAGTAAGAAAATAATAATTGTTTTTATATTTGAAATTCGTTTTATATAGGTGATTTGCACGTAACTAATATTTGGCGGCGTCACAGAAAACACATTCAAAATAAAAAATTTTTGTTTGGGTATGGATACATTTCACAGGTATATATAAAACCTATTCGCAACCACAAATATGTACAAATAGATATTATAATTTTTGATAAATTGCGGAATTCCCTCCAAAATTTCAGCTCCGTGGCGTGTCCGTTTTTTAAAAATTTTAAGTTAAAATTCAGAAATTTTATTGAAAACGCCGAAACTGGAAACGAAAATTTTTGTAATATGAATTGTGTATATAGGTGAACAATTTGTACATATAATGCATCTTCTAATACTATTCTTATAAAATTATAAAATGTAAAATAGTTTTGTCCACAAATTTTTTCAATTTTGTAATAAGATTTTTTCCCCTATAATTTAACTGTTTATGGCACATTTTAATGTTATCTAAGAATTACAATCTAAAATAAGATCCATTAGCAACAAATATCAGTAAAAAAAAGGTTCAAAAATTGGAAGTTCTACACTCATAAACAATTTTTTTTGTAAAAATGTGAAGGTCACAAAAAAAGTGATCAGTACCGTGGTATTACTATTCTTTTAATCTAAACACTCTCTGTTGTAATTATTACGATTTTTTTGAAGATTACAATAAAAACAAATTATCTGCCCAAAGAATAGAATTATTTTGCAGAATTGTCGGAGTTAGGTTAGTTTAAATGTCAAGTTTCAGCTCCGTGGTGTCACATAAAATATCAGCTCCGTGGCGCCTGTGGCGTACAGTGTGAAGGTGCAAATTCATGGATCAACATTTGCTACAATAACACATATTATAGAAGAGGACAAACATAGTTGTGTCCTTTTATATTTCAGTGCTTCGGCAACCGTTGACTTATTAAAAAACACCTTATTATTCGAAAAAACACGCCTTTACTTTTTGTGCTTAATTTAAAATGTCTTTATGTCAACCATGAAGATCGTAACGCTTTTATTTGTGAATACTTTTCTGAAATTAGTTTTATGCGCTAATTTCATAATGTTATGAAAATAAAATCCTCTGATAGACCCCAGGATGGGGCTACTTTGTGCATTGATCTTTCTGTTTTTATAATGTTACGTAAACATTTTTTTGATCCTTTCTTATTCATTAAATCTTTTGTGTAGATATTTCAGAGTAAATTAAAAAAGAATAAGATATTAAACAAAAATTTTGTAAATATTATACAACAAAATGTAAAATAAAACATTAAGATTTTGCTAAAATTATGATTTATTAAAAATTAACAACCTTTTCTCTTTTATATTACTCAGAAAATAAATAACACTTTTTCTTTTTAAATATACATTTTACAATAATACATTATAATCATTATAATACTATCATTTAAACACATGTAAATAACTTTGAATCTCATCATTTCAATAGGAGCTTTTTTAAACGTTTTGAATATGATATTTTTCAAAAACTTGAAATTAATATTTTAAGGTTAAATGAATAACAATTTAATATCTAATACACTTTTCAAGTTATTAGAGAAACGAGAGAAATAGTTTTAAAACTAATTTCAAAAACTTATAAATATTAATTAAAGTTAATTTTTTGTCGTTATGTTGCTTACCGGTTGAAGTTTTAATCGTTTTAAGGATTTTAATTAACATATTTTTGGTTTTTTGACAAAGAAGTTCTTTTTAATAATTTTATATATTAAATACCTCGCTTACATAAAGTAGCCCCAGTTGACGGCAGTATTATTCAATGCATATATATATAGGGTGGTCAGCTCCGTGGCAGCCAATTTTCGAAAATTTGTTATAATTTTTTTATAATTATAGCTGTAGTAAAATCGTTCAAATTACAACTATATTATGCCCTAATGATGAGGAAAAGTCATATTTATCATTAAAAAAACAAAATTTTTTTTCTTTTAAAACTGATCTTGAAATTGCACAGTTACGTGAAAATCACCCCAGCTGAAAAAAATCGTCTGGATTTTCCCATGGACTTTTCAGGTAGAAATACATATGGAGATTTGAAACTATACACATGAAATCCGCATGGATTGCCATGTGGATTTCCGCATGGATTTTTTTATATTCTTAATAAACTCAAAATATGAACGAAAACCTCTCTAAAAATGCAGAAAGTAGTGAGTGAGACCCCTTCGGGGTCTCAGAATTCGAATTTGATGTTTATTTTTGAAAATATTTAAAAATAGAAGAAATAGAAAATTTCCATGTGGATTTCCATGTGAATTATTTCAAATCTCCGCATGGATTTCTGCGTAAATTTCCATGTGGAAAATCCAGACGGACTTTTTCAGTTGGGACCCACATGTTATTAGGTATTGGGAACTATTAAGAAAAATAAGTTTTTACCGTGAATTAGACCTAATTTATTAATATTTTAGAGCAAAGCGCGCTGCTATAACATAAAATGCTCAATTTATGGCAAAATTAACAAAGTTAAAATAAAATGTTAATTCTTTTTACAATTGGATCTTGGTTCATATATTATTAGGTATTAGAAACTATTAAGAAAAATAAATTTTTCACCGTGGATTAGACCTAATTTATTAATATTTTAGAGCAACGCGCGCTGCTATAACATAAAATGCTCAATTTATTTCAAAATTAACAAAGTTAAAATAAAATGTTAATTGTTTTTACAATTTAAACTCGTTTTATATGTTATTAAGCATTAAAAACTATTTAGAAAAAATAATTTTTCACCGTGGACTAGACCGAATTAATTATTATTATAGGGCAATGCGCGCAGCTATAACATAAAATGCTCGATTTACAGCAAAATTAACAAAGTTAAAATAAAATGTTAATTGTTTTTACAATTGAAACTCGTTTTATATTTTATTAGGTATTGGAAACTATTTAGAAATATAATTTTTTCACCGTGGATTAGACCTAATTTATTAATATTTTAGGGCAATGCGCGCAGCTATAACATAAAATGCTCGATTTACAGCAAAATTAACCACTTCACTGGCAGGGCTTTCCAAATGGCGTTCCACGCGCCGAGGCCCAGATTATCACAATAAAAGTTTCAGTTTTTGAGATTTTCAATGTTTCTTCGAACGTTGAAATACTCAATTTTTACCACTTTTCAACAAATGTTTTTCAATTTTTATGCAGTAAAACTCATATTTTTTATTTTAAAAAAATGTATTTATATACATTATTATATATATATATATATATATATATATATATATATATATATATATATATATATATATATATATATATATATATATATATATATATATATATTCCTGTGTCTGTCACCTATAAGATTTTGTAGAAATTTTAATATGATTGTCTTTGCAATCAATGTCGAAATCATGAGGAGTCATTTTCCGCCTTTCAACTCCGCCAAAGGCAAATTTCAATCCGGGGTCCAGTCCCTTGAAGACGTCATATTGGGTTAAATCTCGCGATTCCGGTTGCTCGAAAGGAAAGAAGTTTGGCACAATTTTTGGCTCAACAAGATTAAAAATGACAGACACTGCCACGCCATCAGTCATTATTGTATTTGAAAATTTTAATCTGTCTTTGTTGACACGTAATTTCGCAATGTCAAACATGTTGTTCCATCTGTCGTCGTTTTCGTTTAATCTCTCAGGACGTCGTTGATGCTTGAGTTGTTGGTATCGTTGACTCTCTAATTTCATGTTTTTCTTGATTGGAGTCAACTGTTTTGCAATTTCTTGCAATCGATTTTTCATGACTGACAAACTCTCGCCGTTCTCTGGATCATCGCTTGCTCGTTCCAAAAGTTGAACATTTTTTCCCAAGGTCGTTTTTTCCTCCTCCAACAACTTACATTCTTCTTTTAACGGTGTTATATTTCTTTTATGTTCCACTTTTTGTTCTTAAATTTCATCATGTGTAAACGTTTCCGGTGCTTTTGAGACGGCAACATAATCCGGTGCTATTTTCATCAACTCCTTCTCTAGTTCTTTCAACCCAGTATCGGTATACGTCACGTATTTTAGGCCTGCTTTTATGATTGGTGCAAGAATAAAACTTTTTATTCCTTCACGAGAAAAATATCCTTGCAAATCATGAAAAAAATGATAAATTTGTGGCATTTTTTTCGATTTTTAATATCTCGAAAATCCAAATTGTCGACATTTAGAGCTTTGAATGCCTCATTGTCAAAATCGTTGGACTTGAACAGATTGTCGAGCATCGTTTTAATAATTCCACCTCGATTAATCTCTAACACTTCGTCGTCTGGCACTTTCATGAGTCTTTTCACTTCATCTTCGGATATTGGACTTTTTCTTTTTGTTGACAGATTTGATGCATTCTTTGCAGCAGGGGGGGGGCTTTTTCCAGTTTGGATTGTTGTATTTCATGGCCAACCGATTTCGATAAGCGGCACCTCTATTTCTGCCGTTTGGGGTTAAATCGTAAACAATTTTCCGTTGTAACACATCGTGCGGTCTTTTGTTTATAATTAGCAGAAAAATAAGTAAACTATTTCTTTTAAATATTTTAAATTTGAATTATTCTCGCGGGCTTAACATGCAGATTGAAACGCACTCTGGTGAGCGCGTTGACGCAGTAGAATTTCGTTAGTAAAGGTACCGTCCCATGATGGCGTGAAAGCGTCGGCGTAAAGCGTAAACCATGTGAGTGAGTGAGAACGTGATATCTGTTCATCTCTTTCTATCGCACGATTTCTGCTTTACGCCGACGCTTTGCTTTTACGCCGTCATGGGACGGTACCTTTAGTTATATGTTTGTACTGAAATAGAGAGCATGTAAAAATAAACCCTGAGATGAAAATGAACGATTTGTGTATTTATTTACAATTAATAAACATTTTGGCGCCTGACGTGAGGCATTAGAAACTCATCGATCAGATTAATAATGTTTTCTAAGGAAAAGAACTTTCAATAACAGTGAAAAAAATGAAAAGCAACGTAAAGTCAAACGAATCGTCGGGACGCTTGAGTGACACGCTATGCATCGAATTTGCCACGTGGTCGGTTCGATGAAAAAAGTGAATCTAGATTAGCAAAAAATAAAGCGATGTGAAATTGTGTTGCAAAGTGTGGCATCACAATTTAAAAATTCATTTGGTGTGTAGGTTAGTTTGTCAAGCTTAATCAAAACAAAGTGTAATATTCAAGTTCGGAAGTGCAGTGAAATATGGCGGATAAAGTACTAAAAGGCTTGCGAAGGCATGGCAGCGCGCCACAGTAAAATCTAACGTGACTCGTATCAACACAATATTAGACGGTCGGGAAGAAATGTTCATTGCTGAAGCGGAAATCAGAATGAAAAAGTTAGAAGATCAGTGGAAAGAGTTCGAGCGAATTCAGCAAGAAATAGAAGCAACCAGAATTAGTGATAATGACGATCAACAAGAAATATTTGATCAAGAAGAGCAAGACGAACGGCAAGTGTTCGAAACAGGTTATTTTCATTCTGCAAAAAGATTACAGGCAATTATTGATCGGCCAAAACGTGAAGCGGAAAGAACATCCTTGAAGATAGCTCAAGCAACGGCAGCGCGGGCAGGCGAGCCAACAGCTAGAGAACGTGAAGGAAATCCAGCTGATGATAACGCAAATGGATGGAGGAGGAGTGGTGTGAAGCTGCCACCACTATCACCACCAGAATTTGATGGCGACTACAGTAAATGGATGACATTTAGAGATTGTTTTGAGGCAACTATTCACAACGTTGCACACATTCAAAATCTTTACAAATTCTGGTATCTTCGAGGTGCATTAAAAGGAGAAGCAGCAGAATTACTCATTGGAATTGAAACAACGACAAAAAATTACGAAGAAGCTTGGAAGCTAGTGAAAAAGACGTACGATAACAGAAAGTTGATTGTTAATTCGCACTTAAATGAACTTTTAGCATTTCCAGTTATTGCTAAAGACAAGGTCGAAGAGCACAGTTCAATGAAAAAGTTTGTCCTTCACATTCGCAAGCACATGAAAGCCCTGCAAGCATTAAAGCAACCTGTCCAATATTGGGACACTATTATTATACATTTAACAAAAAGCACATTAGACTTTGTCACACAGTGTGAATGGGAAAAATTGGTGGAAGAAGGCGAAGATAGAGAAGATGTTGGAGATAAAATGCCAACTGTAGAAGAGTTTTTGACTTTTGTAGAAAGAAAATCCAGTACATTGGAATTAGTGGAAGCTAATAATCCAAAGCAGGAAACATTAAAGCAGCCGAGCAGTAAGGTACCGTTCGAAAGGAAAGAACGTCGTGTGACAACAGCTGCATCAACAAAAGGAGAATGTCCAATGTGTAAGAGTAAACATGCTATTTACCAGTGTCCAGAATTTTTAGCGTTGACTCCTCAAGACAGATCCAAGGAAGCCAGAGATAAACGATTGTGCCATAATTGTTTAATTCCAGGTCATTTCGCAAAGGTATGCAAAAGTTCTCATTGTAAAAAATGTGACAAGCATCACAATACTCTACTTCATTGGGAATTTCAGAAATCTACAGGTGCTCAGTCAAGCAAAGAAGAAGAAAATAGTGCTTTAACAATGACGTGTCATGTTGCTAAATCTGAAGTGTGTTCAAGTGTTAGCAAATCGGATCCTGTAGATTCACAAGTTTTGGGAAGTGCCTATTCCGTGAGAAATTTATCCTCCCACGTGCTGTTGTCTACAGCACTAGTGTATGTGATGGACAATAGTGGTAATTAACATCGATGCCGGGCTTTGTTGGACCCTGGCTCACAACTTCATTTTGTAACAGACGATATTGTGAAAAAATTGGGATTACCGACCAAAAAAGCAAATCAGTGCATTGACGGTATCAACAATGCAGTCACGAATGTTGGAAAAGCCACAACAATTAAAATCAAGTCAATGTATTCCGATTACACAGCATCATTAGAGTGTCTCGTTTTACCAAAGATCACTCAGAATCTTCCCCAAGTGAAAATCAACAAAAGTGAATTGAGAATTCCCGTGGATATAAAGTTGGCAGATCCCACGTTCGATGAGCCTGGAGTAATTGATATTCTCATTAGTACAGCGTTGTTTTGGTCCCTACTATGTAAAGGTCAAATTAGACATCGTGCTGGTCAGCCTTCTCTTCAACAGACGAAGCTGGGTTGGATTGTTGGAGGCGAATTGGTTGAATCACGCAAAAGTGCACCTCCTAGTTGTCATTTAGTGACAATGAAATGTTAAATAATCAATTTGAGAATTTTTGGCGAGTGGAGAGTTTGCAAGAACCACGAAAATGGACTAAAGAAGAAATAAAATGCGACACATTTTTTGAAGAGACATTTCAAAGAGAGGAAACTGGACGTTTCGTTGTAAAATTGCCGAAAAAAGAGGAAGTCACTCTGGGGGAATCGAGAGAACATGCAGAAATGAGATTGAAGTCGTTGGAGAGAAGATTCAAAAGAGACCCTAAACTAAAAGAAGACTATGCCGCTTTTCTGAAGGACTACGAAGAAAAAGGACATATGCAATTGGTTCGAGAAAAACAAAATGAAGATGAAGAGGTATACTTTATTCCTCATCAACCTGTGTTAAGGCCAGGTAGCATCACAACGGAGTTAAGAGTCGTGTTCGATGCATCAGCATTGACTTCGCTAGGAACGTCCTTGAATCAAAAGTTACAAGCAGGTCCCAATTTACAAACAGACTTATTGGAGATAATTCTTCGGTTTCGTGCGTATCAAGTGGTGATAACAGCTGATATCGCACAAATGTTTAGACAAATTCTTATTGACAAGGAAGATCAAAAACTACAATGCATTCTGTAGAGAGAGGACTCAAACCAAGCTATTCAGACTTTCGAGCTCATGACAGTAACGTATGGCACCACTAGTGCTCCATATTTGGCGATTAGATGCCTACGACAACTGGCAAAGGAGGCAGAAGCAGATTTACCGATTGCAGCACAAGCTCTGAAAAAGGATTGCTACATGGATGACGTTCTAACTGGAGCTAGAACAATACAAGAAGCAAGTAAACTACGCAGTGAATTATCAGAACTTCTTTAACGAGGCCAATTTCAATTAAGGAAGTGGAGAGCTAGTGATCCGCTGGTCTTAGCTGATCTGAATGAACAATGCAAGTCTCAGCAGTTTCTAATCTTGGACGGCCAAGGTCCTCTGAAGACATTGGGATTACGGTGGGATTCCAATAAAGATTGTCTACAATACCAAGTGGAGTCTTTAGATGAACATAAAATAACGAAGAGAAATGTACTATCAAAAGTTGCCCAAGTCTTTGATCCTTTAGGACTTGTTGGACCAGTGTTGATTACAGGAAAGATCATCATGCAGCAGCTGTGGGTAAGACAAATTGAATGGGATCAGCAGATACCTCCAGACCTGAGTACAACTTGGTGTGATTATTATAAGGCTCTACCTAAGCTGAACGAGCTCATAATTCCTAGAAACATCAATCCTCGTAACGAAAGCGAAAGTTTTGATATCATAGGGTTCTCTGACTTCTCTGAGAAAGCCCTGGGTGCCTGTCTGTACGCAGTGAGTAAGGATGAAGATCAAACGATGTCTTCTCAGTTGATTTGTTCCAAGTCGAAGGTAGCTCCGGTGAAGGCAGTGTCTCTGCCGCGTTTGGAGCTTATGGCTGCATCACTTTTGGCAGAATTGGTTTATCTGGTTCGCAAAACATATGAAGAGAAAATTCGAGAAATAACGTTATTCAGTGACTCGACAATCACGCTTGGATGGATTAAATCGAAGCCTAATGATCTAAAGACATTTGTAGCAAATCGTGTTACAAAAATACAGGAATTGACAAACTCTGCTACTTGGCGACATACGCCGTCGTTGAGTAATCCAGCCGACATGTTATCCCGAGGAATTGCCGTTCAGGATATTTTGGAAAACAAATTGTGGTGGAATGGACCGTCCTGGATAATTGACAAAAATCAGTGGCCCTCACAGCCTATTACAATTGAGCCAGATTTATCAGAGATGAAAGTGTCTTTGACCGTAACCAAAGAGGAAGATATTTTCTTATTATCATCTAATTATTCCAAGCTTATAAATATTATAGCTTATTGTCTTCGCATTAAAAGGTTTTCTCAACTGTTGAAATCGAATTCTGAAGAAGTCAAGATGTTGAGAAAAGAACGAGTTATTCCACCTCTATCAGTGAAGGAGTTGGAATCAGCTGAGCAAGTTCTAGCAAGGAAATCACAGCAACAGACATTTTCCAAGGAGATTGTGATTATTCAAAGGAAACAAGAATTACATAAACGCTGCCCTCTGACTGGATTGAATCCATTTATAGATGATAAAGGCCTTCTTCGTGTTCTTGTCCTATGATCAGAAGCATCCAATTATTTTATCATCATATCATACATTCACAACTCTTTTATTACGACATAAACACGAAAAGTTGCTTCATTGTGGTGCTGAGCAGCTATTGAGCATAGTAAGACAACGATTATGGATATTGAACGGACGCAGAGCCATTCGCAAGAATTCTATTCCAGAATTGTAAACAATTTTTATAATCTAAAAATTTTAATAAATAAATCAAGTTGCAGTGTCTTGCACTATTTACAACCTTATTAATTAAATAGTTAATATAATGAAGTCGAGTTTTTACTACAGAAATAACTGTTAATATAAATTTTTAAACCCAGTTTGACCATGTTTCTTTTAAAAAATTAGTGCTCCTTTGCCCGCGGTCGTAATTTTCCTTCCTAATTCAACATGCGGAGGATAGTACAATTCCTTTAATCTCATAATGCATTAACCTTAAAATTATTAGTTTTTAAACTTTTATATTTTTTTTAAAGAAACAGTGAATATTTTTAATTCTTTTTGTTTTAAACTTTATAAATATTTTTTTAATAATATACTAGTTTTTAAAGAAATCTATAGAAAATTTTAAAAGTTATTGAACGAAAATTTCCGTTTATATCCACTTTACATAGGCTAACAATGTTAAAGTAAAATACTTTGAATTTAAATAAAAATATCTTGTTTTAGAAAAATTGATTTTTTTTAAACTTAGCAATTGTACAGGTAGTATTCCACGACATATTTAGGACGTTTCGAAGTAACATCACCGATTTTTCTGAAACTTGGTAATATTATAATGTTTGGTATGAAGTTTCAAGAAATCCATTTTTTTTGCAAAAAGAATTGTTTATTTAAAAGATACAATAATTGCTCAAAATTTTTTAAATATGCCCATATCTTTTAAACGGTTAAACATAATCAAGTTTCGTTTTTTGCGTTCGACGCAGGGAGACCAGACACTTCAAATAAGTTATTAGCACATTTGTCAAAAATTGTTAATTAACAAAGTTATTTAAACAAAAAGACCTCACTTTCAGCGCAGAGAACCAAATTAAATATCTAAAAGATGAAAATATTCTTTGCGTTTCTCTCCTCTTTATCCTAAAAAATTGTTCAAGTGCGATTTGTACTCGCACTGCAATGGCGGGTTCCGTGCACAAATATTTAAACAATACTTGCAACATTTATCGGTAATTGGTAGAATTAAAATAAACAATTAAAAAATATATTAAAATCATTTGATGAAGAAAATAACCAAAAAAATTAAAGTGTTGTGTATCTAATATTGTAAAAAATAATAAGTAGAGAAACTAATTTGAAAATTTTGTTCCTCTACTTATTATTGTTTACAATATTAGATATACAACACTTGAATTTTTTCTTTAGTTATTTTTTTTATCAAATGATTTTAATATATTTTTTTAATTGTTTATTTTAATTCTGCCAATTACCGATAAATGTTACAAGTATTGTTTTAATATTTGTGCACGGAACCCGCCATTGCAGTGCGAGTACAACTCGCACTTGACCAATTTTTTATAAATTATAGTTACTATTATTCAAATAATTTACTGTTGACTCTCGATGCTTAAACAAAAGTTTATTTATGCTCCTAAAACTTCTAAAACTTTTCCTCTTATTGATTAGTATAAATTTAAGTGTCGTTTTAAAATATTGATGAATTCTTTTAGGTCGGCAATGTTTACTTGCAAGAGATGGAAGAATTTCTAAACATGCCAGATGACTTCGATGAACATGCTTCGAATGAGAATGAAGAAATTTATTTACCTTTCCAGAAACTTCATAAGCTTATGAACGATCCAGAATTCTGGGAAACTATAAAGCAACCGGTTAATAAAACTAAAGGGGAACTACTCATGATACTTTTAAAATATTCAATAAGGCATTGTTTGTCTTAAACGGCAGTAACTGATCTCTTTTCGCTCATAAACTAGATTCCCATTACTTATTTTGCCGGATTCTCGATACTTAATTGATACTTTATTTAATCCGTCAAGTAATGCCAAATTCCACGGAATTTGCCCCGATTGTAGTACATACATAGGGGAATTTGAACGTTCATGCAAATCAATCAATTGTAATTTTTGCGGTTTGAATGTAAATGTTAGAGACTCTTCGTATAACGATTTCTTTGTGTACTTTGACGTTAACTCGCAAATTTCTGAGTTACTAGAATCAAATAGCGACTATTACAGTAATGTTATGAATCATCGAGTGCCTCAAAAAGATGTATTAAAAGACATTTATGATGGTCAAATGTACAAAGAGTTTGTGAATAGTTTAAATGAGAATGAAAGACATCAGTATGTAACTACAACGTTCAATACAGATGGTGCGCCATTATTTGAAAGCTCTTCTTACTCAATATGGCCGATTTATTTACAACTAAATGAGGTGCCCTATGAGGTGAGAACGAACGAGTCAATTGTTGTGGGATTGTGGTTCGGCAAAAGAAAACCCGAGATGAATGTCTTTTTGAAACCCTTCGTTGAAAAAATAAATGTATTCTCCGAGAAAGGAGTCGATTGTAATATTAAAGGCAAAGTACTTTCTGTTAAGGTTTATACATTAATTTGCTCTGTAGATTCAATAGCCAGACCACCGATTCAAGGATTTATATAATTTAATGGTGCATACGGCTGCCCCTGGTGTTTACACCGTGGTCAATGGGTAGCAACCCCAAATAAAGATAAAGGCGGCAGTCATAAATACCCATTGTTGGAAGTATCAGTTAGACGACGAAACGTACAAGACACACTTCGGCACATGAAATTAGCAACGCCAAACAAACCGTGTTTGGGGTTAAAAATCCGTCTCAATTAGTAATTCTCAAAAAATTTAACATTATCGAAGGATTTACTCCCGATCCAATGCACATTGTGAGTAATTTTGGAAAATTGTTTACAAATATTTGGTTTGGTAATAAAAACCATTCTTCTCTTTATCTCACGAAACAACAATTGACCGACATAAATTTGTTGATGAAAAAAATTAAAGTTCCTCACCAAATTGGTCGGCTTTCTCGTTCTCTGGCTGATAAAGAATTTTGGAAGGCCAGAGAATGGGAAAATTGGATCTTGTACTATAGCATACCAATAATTTCTTTGTTTTTAGAAAAGAAATATGTATTACATTGGCTCCTTCTCGTAGAGGCTTTACACATTTTTTCGAGAGATGTAATTACAATTGCCGAGCTTAATCATGCTAATAGCTTGCTACACAAATTTGTGGCGGACACTGAAAAAAACTACACAGGTGTAGCAATGACGTTTAACGTTCACATCCTTTTGCATTTACCTCAAAGTGTTTTCAATTGGGGTCTACTTTTTGCGCATTCTACTTATGGATTTGAATCTGCGAACGGCAAACTGTTAAACATAATCCATTCAGCCAAAAGTGTACATCAGCAAGTTGCTTGACATATTGCATTAACTTTCAGTCATAGGTTAATTAAAAAAGCGGTTTACGATAGTTGTTCAATAGAAACGAAACATTTTTACAATTCATTGGGCACTATAAAAGTTCAAAATACTGTAAAAACATCAAAAGCTAGATATTTTGCAGCACCTAGGAAAGTTGACAACGCGTGGATAGAAAAATTATAACTTTCTTAAAGTTCAATCTGTTATTCGAAAATGGTAAAGAACAGTTGCCTTTACTTGTCCTCAGAGAAAGTAAATGCACGATCCGATGACACATTCGTTAGGATTTGTAATGGTACTTATGCTCAAATTTTTAAATTCATTGTTGATAGAGAAATGAATCAAGATTATGTATTGGTTAAAATTTTGAAAACAAAAACTGCGTTTCCTAGAAATCACAAAATTTTGCAGTTGGTCGAAGAAATAGGTTCAGAAGTAGTGTCGGTTTCCGTTAATGATATCGACAAAATTAGTGTTTCCATTGATATTCCTGACAAAAATTGGTATATTTGTGCGGTACCAAATTTGCTATCATATTAAAATTGGTTAAACGACGTTGTAAAAACGTTTTACGTTTTACGTTTACGATATTTTTCTCAATTTTTCCTTTTATTAGATACCATGTGTAAAAAATCTATTTTTAAATTCGGTAAAAGATTTTCAGTTTTTTTAAGAGACAAACAATTTTCATACAGAAACAGTTTTTAAAATTTGACGTTTCTTTTTATTAAAATCAATTATTTTTAAGTATAGAAATGAGAGAAATACCGTAAATTACTATTGTTAATTTACACGTGATAAATAGGGGATCGTTCAAAAAATACGTGACGCTATTTGAACGTTCCCTTCCTTACATTTACTAATAAAAAAGCGTTTACTGTATTGTAAAGTTCTAAAATAATAATAAAAATTTTTTTTAATATGATAATAACAATTTAATATTTTTCAGAAGTTTGTAAGAAAATCGTGCAGATCATCAAGTCATTTATAGTTGAAATGACATGCTGAATCCAGTACGATATTCTATTTTGTAAAAAAGATAATAGACATGTTCTTGCTCTTAAATTTCATGCGGAATACAGTAGTGGAACATGTTTAGGATCTTTTATATTTTCCTTTCCAAAAATCATCCTGCAAAATTACTTTTAAAAGTTCTTGTAGAAGATCCTGTACATGAAATTACTTACAGATCATGCGCAAGATCTGTTGCTTTTTCATGTATAGTGTTTTACATATTAATGTTTTACATATTTACACTTTTACATGAAAGTGTTTTGTGGAAAAATTCAGGGCGTACAAGTACATGTATGTGAAATTGTACAAGTTCATGTACAAGAAGAAAAATGAGGAAAATTTTTTTGGGGTGAACTTGCTCATGTTCACGTGTAAGAACACGTATCTTTAAAATTTTCCATCCTAGTTACAAGTCCATGTTCTTGTACATGATCATACATAGGGGAATTTCAATGTGTGGAAGCTACACACACGATCTTGTACGTGAATATATGTGAGAAAAAAATGTTGTTAAAAGCTACATGTGAACTCGAATGGGAACTTGTATTTGGTCTTACA